CCGTGTTAGTCAGTGCAAGCATATCAGGCAAAATCCAAAGAACAAAACAGTACAAAACAAAAAAGACAAATACATGCGGCACTGAGCAGTTAGAATGCTTCCATTTGTTTCTGACAGTTCCTTGCATGTAGCCAAAACAATAACAGTAACTGTTGATTTTGCTAGACTTTTTCATACAGCACAGAACTAATTTAATCTCCTTTATGGCTGTCATAGCTAGCAAAACAACTAACTGATTAGATATAGTCCATGAGGAATTTTTTATCAGAGCCCTTGTAGCCTTACCAAATTTTAACTATGGTATGATGAATCTTTTAACCTAGTTCCATTGGCAGATAGAAGAAAATAATTCTCAACTGTTTCAAAGCAGTGCAGTCTACTATCTTGTTATATGAGGGGATGCTGATAAGTATTGAGCCTTCCCCAGAAAAAATTGAGCTCGGAAGCTATAAATTGCAGGGTGTATTGGCCAATTTGTCTGTATTCAATGGTGCAAAAATCAACTACCTATGATTTTAACTTATATTTCATGTTCAGGTCCAAAATGAACATGGCAGCACCTCCAGAAAAGTTCATTGTGGAAGAGCATAGGAGCATAATCAAGTTCCTGTTTCTCCAAGGGAAAGGTGCAAAGCAGATCCATGATGCAATGTCACAAACTATGGGTGACAGTGGCCCCTCATATGCAACAGTTAAACGTTGGGTTGTCAATTTTAAAACTGGCCATTTCGGTGTTGAAAGTGAGAAACTCAGTGGAAGGCCTGTTTCTATCTCTATGCCTGCAAATGTGACAGCCATCCATGACATGATCGTGGAGGACCGCCGAATATCAGCCAAAAGTATTGCTATATACAGTGGCGCCCTGCTAGACGCTTACCGCGCTGTATACAGTGGTGCCCTGCTAGACGCTTACCGCGCTGAACAACAAAATCGCTTGACAATGACTTTTTTGCAATCGCAAAACAATGTTTCCTATGGGGGATTTTCGCTTTACGTTGATTAGGTCCTTGCTTCACGAACCATTTGTTCGCAAAATGATTTTTCCGACTCCGCAAAATGGCTTCTCTTTGCAAAATGGCTGACTTCTCTTCACAAAATGGCTGTTTTCTGGACATAAGATTCACAAAACAGTGATTTTAAACAGCTGATCGGCGCTTCTCTATGGGCGATCTTCGCTGGACGACGAGGTATTTCCCCATTGGAACGCATTAATCATTTTTCAATGCATTCCAATGGGTTTTTTCGCATGACGACGATTTCGCTGTACAGAGATTTTAATGGAATGGATTATTGTTGTCATGCGGGACACCACTGTATCTGAGAATATCACGTGAGTGACTTGGTGCCATTATCCACAACGACTTGGAAATGAGAAAGCTAGCAGCAAAGTGGATCCCCAAACATTTCACAACTGAACAAAAGAGGAAACGTGTGGAGTCATAAGTGGCTGTTTTGGAACATTTTGCAAGAAATGAGTCAGATTTCCTGGGCAAACTGGTAACTGGTGATGAGACATGGATCTACTGCTATGATCCTGAGACAAAGGAACAGTCTAAGGAATGGAGGCACAGTGGTTCCCCCAGGCCAAAGAAGTTCCAAGTGCAAAGGTCGGTGTAGAAGCAAATGGCAACTTTTTTGGGATAAGAAGGGAGTTCTGCTGGTGGACTACCTCCAACAGGGTTCAACCATCAATGCAAAATATTACTGTACTTTATTGACAAAACTGAGGCAAAACATCAAGGAAAAACGTTGAAAGCTCTCCAAAGATGTCATCCTGTTGCATGACAACACCTCATCACACACTGCAGGTGAAACAATAGCAAGACTGACGTCCTTAGGATTTCAAGTGATGCCCCATCCACCCTATTCTCCCGACCTGGCTCCTTCTGACTATTATCTGCTCCCCAAACTCAAAAAACACCTAAAGGGAGAACGATTTGGGAGTGTTCTGGAGGCAACTAATGCTGCAAATGAGTGGTTACACCAGCAGTCGGAAGAATTTTATTTGCAGGTACTTAAGAAGCTGCAGGATAGATGTTACAAGTGCACTGACTTTCTGGGGGAATATGTAGAATAGTGTGGCAGTTACAGCTTCCTAGCTCAATTTTTTTCTGGGAAAGGATCAATACTTGTCAGTACTCCCTCGTATTTCTTGCCTAAATGCATACAGGTGACACGCTTACTCTTAACTGATATCTACCTCACTATACTGCCTACCTACCAGCGAAGGGGTCAGCTGTACAGCAAAATAAGCATCTAGCCACTTGAACTACTGTCTTTAAAAAGTCATTCTTCACTACAAAATGTAAGCATTTTTGGCTTACAGCATTTACTATCTAGTTGTATTACCATACCAACACTCTAATCCAACCAAGTGGCTATATAAGACAGGCACTGCTCTGTTTTGTATTACTGTATTGTTCTGTGCATAAGACACACACACTCATTTTTCTAACCCAAATTTTCTTTCTTTGCAAGAAAGTGGAGGAGGAAAGTGATTCCTGCTTTCCCCCTACATTTTTATTGCAAAAAGCAGCTTTCCCCCTCCACGTTTTGCAAAGAAAATTGAGGCAGAAAGCAATTCCTGGTTTCCCCCTATACATTAATTGCAAACGTTTTGCAGAAATCGCTTTCCCCCTCTATTTTCTTTGCAAAAAGTGGAGGGGGAAAGCTGCTTTTTGCAACAAAAATGTAGGGACAAAGTAGGAATCGCTTTCCACCTCCATTTTCTTTGCAAAACGTGGAGGGGGAAAGCAGGGATCAAAGCACTTTGATCCCTCCCTCCCTCTCTCCTTACTTTTGTGTATAAAACAACCCTCAATTTTTCCTCAGTTTTAGGGGAAAGTGTCATTTTATACACAGGAAAACATGGTACTCTGTTTTTCATTGATCACACTACGCTCATGCAAAATTAGCATTTTGGGAATTTTAATTATAAAGAATATTGACAGTTGACATTAACAAATGTTTTCATGTGATTTTTTTAAAGCTTTCTTTTCCGGTTATACGATGTCATTCCTCCTTAATAGTCATATTCAGCAAATGGTACTTGTGGGCAAAGTGTAACTTTTTGTTTGGTTTGGTTCAGTTTGTGTCTGAGAAAAGGAAGCCTCTAACGCTGGCTGAATGGGCATCATGACATAAAATGCTTGGTTGCTCAGGAAACAGTACAGTTTGCTGTCCAACTTCTGTGAGAGAGGCCAAAGCTGCCAGTTTGGCTAAAATTAAAACCTGAAATAGGTTGACTGAAAACTATAGTAAAATCTTACACAAAGAATGTAAAGCCTGTAGGCAATGGATAGAGAAGGAAGCCTGAGGAAGAGGGCTGATGACACTAGAACCTGAGACAAAGAGATACTAATAGGAGAGGGGAACTCTGAAGAAATTTTCCAGAGTCTAAAATCAAAGGTGACAGTGAGAAAGCAGGAAAACAGGTCAAGAGACATTGTTGAAGAAAACTGTGCACATCAGGAAGTGTTTTTTAAAATCAGAAATCTGAAGGCAAGTGTGGGTGGTGAAGACAGTGGATTGATTAAAGAGATGACAGAGGGAACAAATTGGACCATGACTTTTTGGCACAGATGAGCCCATAGTCCAAGTAAGAGGGCCTGCTATTTCAGGATGAGTCACCTCTTCTTTTACAGCAAGAAGAAAGCAAGCAGGCAGGTTGGATGCTGAAGAGAAAGCAAGTTACTACATCTAGACTCTTACAACCCTGACAGGTGGAAATTGCCCATTTTCACTTCTCCTGAACTGAAGCATTGTAACCAGACAATCCTAAGAAGCAATGGGGATCTAAAGACAAAGTGCTGAAGATGAAGCTGATGTACAGATTTGACTTAACTAGCCAATTCTTTGACTACTGTATAGGCATCTAGTGAATATTTAATGAATTGGGATTAAATCTGCAGTTTTAGGACAGGAACTTCCTGAGGCAGACAAAAAGTAAAGAACCACAAGTACTGCTACTAATAGCAATGTTCTGTGAAGTATATTATGACTTATGGTGACTGTTCTTTCGAGGTATACTCTGAAATGGTTTACCGTTCCCTTCTTTTGAGAGCACCCTGGGACTATGCAGCATGTTCAAGGCTACACTACCTGGCTATATTCCCAGGAAGCACAGTGAGAAATCAAACTCCAAACCTTCTACTCACAAAATGTGTTTCATGCTCTAGGTTGTTGTTGTTGTTTTTTCTCCCTTCTTGGCACAGATCAAATGTAAGCAATGAAAAAACATCATCAGTGCACATTTTCCTCCCTTGGAATGTTCTCAGAGGAGCTAAAACTAATTCCTTGAGTTGTTGTGATTACCCAGGAGATCAATCCTGCTGTTTTAATGAACTCCCAAAATTAAGGAAGCCCTTAAGTTACAATCTGTAGGCTCTCAATGTCATTGTAGTGACAAAACATAAACTCAACTCTCTTAGCAAGTCTTTCATTCTGGCTCATAGAAGTGAAACCAGCCAAGGAAGAAGGCTGTGCCACAGAGGTCAGAAATGGGTCATGTTCTCCACAGGGAGGGAATTCCCCACCATTGACTTGAGGAATGTGAATTCGTGCCACTTTGGAGTAAAATCTAATTAACGTTTTGTGCCCATGAGTTATCTTCTAATCCCAGTAATCATACACTGAACTAAGTCGAGAGTCCCAGCAGCAACCCTTCACGATAGGTCTGACTGCATAAGCACTGTCAAGTCCCGAGTGTATGATGGGAAGCCCCCCTCCACAGAAACAGCCCCAGAAGAGGCCTTGTCACAAAAACTGTTTTTTGTGGAAACACAATGAAATGTGTCACAATTCAGGCCTTTTTCGCGTGACAGAGCAAGCAATAACCTTGCTCTGCGAAATGCAAGGCACACAGAAATAGACGCGGTAAGTAAAGGCGGCTTAAGTACACATTTCCTCACATCTGCGAGTCCCTCTGAGGGGGAAATCCCTGGACTAATTACACGACAGGTAAAAGAAACAGAAATAGTCAGACTTCTATTGGATATTACCGCTGTCCATCCTCTTCCATCACGGCCCACAGCAGCGCCCAGCGTGCGGGCGGGAGCGACGTGTCCCCGGCTACACCAATAGGAAAGGAGAAGGTGGGCGTGGCCAATGGTGTCCCGGTTATGAAGGCGAACAAGATGGCGGGGATCGGCTTTCCCGTCCCCCCCGCGATCTTTCTCGCTCTTTTTCCTCACCCGCGGTTTACGGCGCTAAGGAGACAGAGCCGCCCGGCAGTTTTGAGGGCACCAGGCCTCTGTAGTTTCGTCAAATCCCCGTCCCATCCAGCCCGGTCACCTTCCCGCGACCCTGGGGCTATAGCTGAGGGAAGGAGGGAGGAAAGGAAGGGGTTTACGGGCGCCGGGGATAGTGGAAGTGGTGTTGGTTCTACTTGCCTGGGCCGCCGCCTTGTCCTTCTCCGCGGCGGCACCGGGTCTTCCGCGGGTAGACGAGTTTGCACCGTCGGCAAGGGGGGAGGGGGGACAAAATGTCGGCTCAGCCCGTGTCTCCTCAGCGCCGCCCCCTCATGCCCGCGGCTCCTTGCCCGCTTGGCCTCGCTGCCACTCGCTTCAAAGGAAGCGAGAAAAGGCAAGATGGAGGCGGTGGTGGCGGCAGCAGCGGGAGCGCAGCCCGGCCAAACGATGGAGAGAGGGAAGGGGGGGGAGGGAAGGAGGCGACGAGGGAGGGGGCTGCACCGCGCTCAGCTCTCTTTCGCTACCCCCCCCGGACAGGGACCGCCCCCCCTTGCGTTTCCTCCCTGGACACAAATCTTGGAGGCCCTGGGGCAGTGGTCAGGGCGGTGGGGTGGGGGGGGAGGGAGAGAGAATATATGCTAGTAAGCCCTGCTCTAGAGTGGGCTACCTTTTGGGACTAGTGCTCACGGGCGTGTTGTGTTTAATTACGAGTGGGGGAGGGGCGCTTTAGACTGGCAGTCTTTGGGGCAGTTTGGGGACTAATTTGACTCCTGGCAATAGGGGAATTAGTTTTACCAGTCGTACTTGGGATCATTTTGGTATAGTGATCTAAAAACTTACTCATGCCCAGATTTCTCCAGGATGTCATTTCTGGATTGTATGTGGATGAATCTAATATGCAGGGAGCCACACATTAAACTTTTTAACATGTGTGATGATCTGCAGGCATATGCTGTGAATAGGTTCGTCTAGTGAATTACGGGGCTTGGAGGATCACCTAGTGATTTTGTATGTGACGTTTGCAGGGATACCTGCAAGAGAGTCATTGTTATGTGATGTGAAGCAAGTCTACTTAGAAACAGTACAGCAGATGGTAAACATGTGTTTCACTGTGCCAATTTAGGTAAGAACTCATAGGCTGGCAAATGTATGAAAATGTTCTAGGAAGGTAGTACGTACAATCCGTACACAATTTTTGCATCTCTGCTCTTGCACATCAATAGTGGAGAATCTTTTCTCCATTTTTTCTGTTTATACCTGCAAGTGTAATAGAATTGGTCATACAAGATGCATATGGTCACAAACTGGCCAAGTAAATAGTGACATGCAAAAATCTGGGCTAATAGGATTTGGCTGGTCAAGCTGATGCAGAGTTATGTTGCCTTAAATCATTTTGGGTATCATTCTATTTTTGCTATGCTACCAAGTATAGTTATGGATAGGTGTAGTTGCTTTGGAGCCAAACCCAAGCTTTTCTCATGTATGCTAACTCCCTCTAAATATATTATGAAATACTATGAAATCTTTTGTAAACTGTTACATAAATTGATTCCAAACTGTGTCATAGCATTCAGAAGAAAATATGTTTTGTCAGTGTTATCAGTTTAGTGTGGTGTTCTTTATTCTAGAAGAGGCATACTTAAGTGGTACTACTGTACTTGCTATAAAGCCCGAGAGTTCCAGAAAAAACATCTACTTCTGTTCATTGATTATGCAAAAGCCCTTGACTTTGTGGACCATGACAAACTATGGCAAGTTCTTAAAGAAATGGGAGTGCCTGACCACCTTATCTATCTACTGAGAAATCTATATGTGGGACAGAAAGTAATAGAACTGGATATGGAACAACTGATTGGTTCAAAATTGGGAAAGGAGTACAAGAAGGCTGTATATTGTCTCCCTGCTTCTTTAACTTATATGCAGAATACATCATGCTAAAGGCTGGACTGGAGGAATCCCAAACCGGAATTAAGATTGCCAGAAGAAATATCAACAACCTCAGATATGCAGATGATACCACTCTGATGGCAGAAAGTGAGGAGGAATTAAAGAACCTCTTAATGAGGGTGAAAGAGGAGAGCGCAAAAAAAGGTCTGAAGCTCAACATAAAAAAAAACAACTAAGATCATGGCCACTGGTCCCATCACCTCCTGGCAAATAGAAGGGGAAGATATGGAGGTAGTGACAGGTTTTACTTTCTTGGGCTCCATGATCACTGCAAATGGTGACAGCAGCCACAAAATTAAATGATGCCTGCTTTTTGGGAGGAAAGTGATGACAAACCTAGACATCATCTTAAAAAATAGAGACATCACCTTGCTGACAAAGTCCAAGCTATGGTTTTTCCAATAGCAATGTATGGAAGTGAAGGCGGAGCACTGAAGAACTGATGCTTTTGAATTGTGGTGCTGGAAGAGACACTTGAGAGTCCCCTGGACTGCAAGGAGATCAAACCTATCCATTCTAAAGGAAGTCAACCCTGAGTGCTCACTGGAAGGACAGATCCTGAAGGCTCCAATACTTTGGCCATCTCATGAGAAGAGAAGACTCCCTGGAAAAGACCCTGATGTTGGGGAAATGTGAAGGCAAAAGGAGAAGGGGCGACAGAGGATGAGATGGTTGGATAGTGTCATCGAAGCTACCAACATGAGTTTGACCCATCTCTGGGAGGCAGTGGAAGACAGGAGGGTCTGGCGTGCTCTGGTCCATGGGGTCACAAAAAAGTCGGACATGACTTAACAACTTGCTAAGGAATCAAATGGAAGGGTTATAACATTTCTGTGTAGTATAAAATAGAGTTATCCGATTGGTTGAACTTCCATGCCATACATGAATGCAATCAGATAGATATGCATGTTTTTGTCCTTTGTGTGATGAGAGGAAATCCATTCCCTATCCTTTATTGTAAAAGGCATGTTATGTTGGTATTTTTCTAGAAATATTTGTGGATAATATGCTTGGGCTTCATCCATTCATCAACACAGTGGGTTAGCTTTCTTCCAGATACTAGAGAATAAGTGGACAGAAGGCACTTCATAGGCTGTGCTGTGAAATTAATTTACCTTACAATTATATCAGGCACCGTAGTTGTAGGTGAAAACTTATCCCTTGAGGACCAATTCAAGTGGCTCAGTTATGTAGAAATGGAGAATAATGTCTCATGCTTTAAAATGTTTAGATCTTCAGTTGCCAGCTTACAGTTTTGATGTTTGGAGACAGCAGTATCTAGTCGGAAACTCAGACTTGGCACACTGTTCAATTTGTCTTGAATTAGATTCTGAAATTAATCTACTCATATTTTGGCAAAGCATCAAAGATAGGTAACTGTGTACAGAAAGAACTGTTGTAAGTGCTAAGATCGAGAATTACATGTGACCTGACTGATTCACAGTATGCTGAAGTGTGACAAGGGATTGAGATAGGGCTGTCATGAGTTTTTGAAAAGCAGATACATCAGAGTATAAAATAAAAGTGTATACAAAATATATATGTATCCAAATTTAAATCCAGTTAGCTGTTGCCTAATTCATATTGTATTTGTAACATTCCCTGGAGAACAAATTGCTCTTTGATATATAAATACCTTCCAAAGCAGTAGCATTGTAAGAAGTGATTGAGCAGACCATGTTCCATATAAAAAAATTTTCTCATAGATGTGCCAAGGTTTTCTCTAAAGAATTTACTAACATATCAGTTAGTTGGTCCACATAATGGAAGAGGGCTCTATTGACCATTATCAAAGGAATTGATAGGGGATTTTGATTAAATATAAAATTATACATTTTAGTGCTGGAAAGAATGGATAAAAACCTCCCAAAAAAAGTACTGTATATAGAAGCAGTTAAAATTCTGAGGAGATGGACTTGTCAACAAAAGCACACATTAAAGTATAGCAGTTAGTCTTTAAGGTACCAGAACATTCTTGTCTTTTTGTGGGGGGGGGGGCTGGTATTCTAGCACAGACTAACATGGCTACCTCTACTAAAACTAATGTGAATTGCCTTGCAGGATGTCACAGGCACCTTCTCTTGGGCATCTGTGAAAGTAGCACAACTGCAGTCCTTAGTGTAAAATACTCCCTTTTCCTATCTTGTACCTCATGAAGGGAAAGGATGCAGAGTTCCTTCTCAGGCAGGCCAAGACAAGGTGCACACCAAGAAGAAATTGAGTTATATGTAGCTTTGCCTAGCGTTTCAGGATGCAAGTGGCACTTGCACATACTGTGCATAACTCAGTGGGAGTAGTTCTCAGTTCTGAACACTGGGGGAGACTCAACTTCATGTTACGTACTTGACTATTAAAATGGAGATTCATACAACTGCTGTTTCCAATGTCATATGCTTAGTAAAGCTGTTCTTATTTAATTTCCTGTTACAAATCTGGTAAAAGTTCTGGGACCTGTTCCCTTTATGAGAAGCAAATGGTGACAGGTGGTAAAAATAAAATGTAATTGTTGAGGCCTAACAGTTATGCAATAGAAAGATGCAAAATTAAGGATGTTATGCTCCAAGCAGTTTCAGTATTAAGAGATGAGGCCATCTACCTCAGTCACATGAACTACCCATTCACCAAAGAAGTAACCGTGTCAGTCAATATCAACATGCTGGCAAAACTAAAGGGGAGGGGGAAGGAAAGCAACATTGTAGCATTTTCAAGACTAACAGATTTATTTCATTGTAAGGTTTCATGGATCAAAATCTACTTCTTAAGACATAAAAAGTGCAAATATAAAGGTTAAGGTTCCCCTTGACAATTTGTCCAGTTGTGTCTGACTCTAGGGGGCAGTGCTCATCCCCCGTCTCCAAGCCGTGGAGCTAGCATTTGTCCATAGACAGTTTCTGTGGTCACATGGCCAGCACGACTAGACACAGAGCACCGGTTACCTTCCCACCGTGGTGGCACCTATTTATTTACTCACATTTCCACATGCTTTCAAACTGCTAGGTTGGCAGGAGCTGGGACAAGTGACAGGAGCTCACTCCATCGTGTGGATTCGATCTTACGACTGCTAGTCTTCTGACCCTGCAGCACAGGCTTCTGTGGTTTAGGCAAAGGAGCCCTCAGGTGACAAATGCTAGGGGCAGCAGTTTACTCATGTAGGATTTCACAACTGTATATCTCTGTTCTGGTTTCTCTCAAAACAGAAAAAAAAACGCAGCTTTAATGTTGACAATGAAGAAATTAAAATTGTTAAAGATTTGGTAACCTAGGCTCAATCATCAATGCAAATGGGAACTGCAAGCAAGAAATCAAGACTGAGAAGGGCAGTAATGATAGAATTAGAAAAGATCATTAAGTATAAGGATGTGTCACTGGAAACGAAGGCTAACATCCACACTTTTTTATTCCTGTAGGGGTGTGAAAGCAAGACAGTGAAGAAACCTAATGGGGGGGGAAGATTTCGGTGAAATACAGTGCTGGAAAAGAGCTTTGTGGACACCCTAGACTGAACCTAAGATATTTAAGGTACCCCAAAAGGGGAGAGATACTGGGGGGAAATATGATGACTCAAAGGATGGAGCAACTGAGAACATAAAACCGATTATAGAAGGACTGTACCCAGAAGAATGGACAGTCTTAGTCTACCCATGGGGGCGATTGAAGAAGGTGATTCGACCAGGACCACTAAAACCAGGAGAGAAACCACTGGAGGGAGAATGGGTATGCCAACCCTGTTGCGGGACTATTTGTGCCATAAGGAGTGGGTGCCTGAGGAAACTAACCGATATGAAACACTTCAGTCAGTCCTACCGTTAAAGGAAGAATCCTATGAAAAGATGTTACCTATGTTATGAACCAGTTTGCCAGTTGACATAGACTTTAATGACCCTGTTGAAGTTGTTGTTGAAAAAAAACCCAGTTGTGTTAATAAAGAGTTGTTTAAAGAAACTCCGCTCCTGTCTTTTCCCACCCAAATGAAGGAACTGTCAAATATTTGCAATGAACCTGATCACAGAGGGAATGAAAATTTTTAATTTCTGAAATGCTGCAGCTGATGACATCATCAACTTTACATGGTGTAAACTTCCACAATAGGATTTTAGCCAGTGTATATCTATGTATATATTGAGTTACATGTATTTTATGTAACTCAGTTTTTTAAAATGTAGGCATTTCCCCTTAGAAGTGTGGTTGAATATGGTCGTCAGATAAATGAGAATTAAAGAATTCTAGGTCTTAAGACATATTCCTTGTGGTTCTCTCTACCTGGTACACAAATTACCGCTTTCTTACATAAATGCTTATTTTGTTTCTTTGGATAAATGATCATTTTAGGATGCAAAATCCCTGACAGCAACAAGAAAAAAGAACATTTCACAAACCGTTACTTTAAAATTATTGTGGAAACACTTTCAAGAAGAATTACACAAAAAGGAAAGAAACATGGAGGTCGTAATATATCATAAAGGGCTTTAATGGGAAGAATATTCATTTTGGCTCTCAAATATAATGTTTTTGCAGCTGAAGCCTACAAACTAAGGTTGAACTCATTGTCCTTTTGTTCTCCATACACAGACTTTTCCATGCTGATTACTATTTACCCATTGTTGGTGTCAAAATGTTGTCTCACGAGAAAGGAAGCCAAATGTTGGATAAGACAGACTTTACAATTTCATACCACTTCTTCTCTTGGAATCTTTCCGTGCAATTGGGCTGAATGACAATATTTCATTGTAAATATGCCCTTGAAAGAGAAGAAAAGAATAAAATAGTGCATTTGATTCAGGCTAAGCGTACTGCTGCTTTAATGTTTGGTTAGTGCATTATATTACAAATGTGACAATGATTCTGAAGAATAGGTGACTAACAGAAGTTCAGAAGGATTCAAGACTGTGACCTAAATCCAATTGTTGGTTCCAACTGGAAGAGACCCATTGAATCACTGGGAACTATGGAGTCAACAGTTACGTATGTTCCATGATTCAGAGGGTCTTTTCTAGTTGGGATTAAGAGTTGGATTAAAAGCTGTTGTGATTAAATACGTTCAGAAATCTTGAGGCATGACAGAATTAGAATTAGGAATGTCAGATTTTCTTAAGGTCCAGGGAAAAAAATTAATTTTATGTTGCCAATATTTGGGAGAGCAATGTCATTATCCTGTTGAATTTACTGTGTATGCAAGGAAAATTGTGGAAGCAGCTTTCCCTGTTGCAGCAAGGTCTGTTCACATGATCAGACTTCACCACATAGCGGCAGCTGCTGCTTAAGGTAATAAGTTCAATATAAGATTCTGTCTGAAGTCATTTTTGCACAGTCAGGAAAAGAATTGCTACAGAGCTTATGAAAGTCATACAAGCATAGATTAAACGAGTAAGGGCTTGTCTAGATGGGTCAAAGGGCTGCAGCAAATAACCACAAGTAGACAGGTTTGTTCCAAAAAGGACCAGGCTATGCTGATTTCGGCATCATCTTCACACTGCCAAAACTCTGGTTCTTTTTAAGGAGAAAGGTGGGATAAAAATATTATAAATAAATAAATTGTGACAGTTGACCATTTTGCAGTGTCTGATCTTTAGCATTCATTTACAGAATGGCAAAACAACCAGAAAACAAGCACATTTAAAGTTTCAGTTGACTTGCCAGAATGGCTAAGAGGACCATCTCTCACTGGCCTGAATATCACATATAAAACGTTCTGGTTTCATGCCTACCATTGCTCTGTCTTCCTGTAAACTAAGACAGGAGGATATTTAATCTCTTCCTGTTAGTTTCTCTCTCCACCTTCATTTGATACCAGTACATGTCTCTGTCTCTAAGAGGAACATGCCACACCCTGGTACCAGAATGAGGTACCTAAGGAAATCCCTCCATTCCATATTGTATGATCTACAGAATTCTTAAATTCAGTTCGGTGCTACCGAAAATTGTCTTCTTACATCATGAGAAAGTTGTGTTACTTAATGGCATGTGAGTTGGGAGTGCCTTTTAAACATTTCATATTGCAAACTATTATGTTATTTCCTTTCCTCCATTTTAGATGTCTTTTTAAATTATTTGATCATCATCATCCTTAATTTGTAATAAACAAATTAATCTGGAATGAAATGCATCTTGTGGAGAGCCTGAAGAATGATTTCCCTCACATGACAGGCTACTTCTTCATACTACACTCAGAGCTAGAACAAGGAAAGGATGAATGGATTGAATGATGCTCTTTGATGATATGGAGGTTCACCTTGCTATTGCTCCTGCCCTATCTTGAAACTCCTGTAGGTCTCTTGCTCAAAGTGTTAAGTGCCAATAGATAGCGGTAAAAGGAAATAGGGCTCTCAGCGCACAGTTTCCCACAAGTGTAGCTGAGTGGACTGATACCCATCTTATTCTGAAATAAATCCTGCACAGTTGTTTGTGTGCTTTTATCTGAGAGGTGCAGGAAGTGAGAGTCTAACCATGGGCATGATCTCCTGGAAGACTATCAAACCAAACTTACTTCTCCATTCATTGATTGAAAGCTTTTCGCCCTCCAGAGATTCATCATAGGAGTGTTGTGCTTCAGTTTCTTCTTCAACATCTCTAAATGGTTCAAAGAACATATGTTCCAGAGCTTGGCTGGCTGTAAGGCGCTTCTCCACATCCAGCTGCAACATTTTGTCAAGCAGGTCCACTGCTACAAATAGAGAAATGAATATTACTAGGTATACCTCACAATAAGTATGTCTGGCAAAGATGACCCTGAAAAAATGGTTTGTCCTACCGTTATGCAGATTGAGCCAGTCTCTTTAGGGTGAAGATGCAAGGAATAGCATGCTACCAGATCTTCCTCCTGGACTCCACCCCAGATGTTTATTCTGGAGGGCAAAGCCCTGTCTTGGACCCCTAAACAAGCTTGGTCTCTCAGCTATGGAAGAGGGCACTGTCTTCTCACAATGTGGAAGTAATGATATCTCAAATATAAGCCACCACAGTTAGGAAATGCTGGTGAGCTTTGAGTCACTGCTTCCATGTGGCCAACTCACATTTATACAGGGAATATACCCCCACTCTCATCTCTATGACATGATAAAATTAAATATTCAAAATACAATGGAAAGGAATTATTTCATGTCGGATTTAATGACCTCAGAAGAGATAAGCAACAAGCAGATAAACAAGACAATTACACCAGACTCGGAAAAACTGGAAACTGAATAGTTAACCAATCAGGCTTTTTCTTTAGTGCTACTGAAGTATCTAAAGAGAGCTTCCATCTAATATGCCATTGTTGTGAGCACTATTGCAGCAGGGATCTCCTGGAAAAAATACCACAGACAGAACACTACTTTTTCTGTAATTGCATGGCCCTAAATATTGGCACCATGGTGTAACTTCCACAGGTATAATTATGGAAACATTAGGCATTAAAACCAGCTTGTTATAATACAAAACAATAGTTGTGGCCATTTTTAAATACTGTAATTGCTTGACTTACAGACTTTTTGAGTTACAGACTTCTCTGGCCGCAAAATTTAGGTTTGACTTGCAGCCTGAGAATTGACTTACAGACCAGAAAAAACCCAAAATGGAACAAAAACGGCCTGTTACGGGATTAATCGGTTTTCAATGCACTGTAGGTCAATGGAGACTTGACTTACAGACTTTTTGACTTGAGAACCGCCTTCCAATACGGATTAAGTTCTCAAGTCAAGACCCCACTGTACAAAACAATAGTTGTGCCCATTTTTAAATACTGTAATGTGGATCTGCCAGCAGTACTAGAGATGAAGGTACTTCACTCAAACTGCATGACTGCTGTGACAAGGGGTCTCTACCCAAAACTGCCTTGCATAGTCACACCAGTGGATGGGAAGCAAATAACCACTGATTATCAAGTTCCCTTTGGATTCCTCATTGCATGCCAATTGGGTGGCTTGGTGCACAACCAGGAATCCAATCGAGGGCTTGAGTTGCCGCTATTTGGTGCTACACCATTTCCTTTCCACCTGCAAAACAGGTTTCTGGCCAAAATATTTCTTTTCTTATAAAGCGAAGCACAAAAAACCCGACTTACCCAGAGGGCTGGCTTTCGGGAAAAGTCGAGATAAATCCATTTTGGGAATCTTTGTAAGTGACTGTATGTAGTTTTTAGCCTAAAAGAAACAAGACTTTCGTACAGGCATAGAAATGTTCTGCAACTGGAAAATGTAAGGGCCAATATTAAATAACGTATTGTTGAGAATCTAAACCCTCACACATGAAACCCTCCTGTTCTACTACTTGATTAAGAACAGACTACAAGCAATATTATGCTGTTATTAAATACATCCATAAATAGGATAGGACTAACATGGCTGCCTCTGCAAAAACTACAACTAGGATAGGACAATATACTGTCCCTACCCTGCTTCATTATGTCACTGCTGGTTTGCTTTTACAGTAATTCCTGCAGCTCCCTTCCTGTCAAGACTGGGCAATCTAACTTCATGTAGGTGCAGGATGGGGGTGGGGGGAGAGACCATGGGAGAGAAGGAGGACAGGAAAGGGGAAATGGTTCAAACCTCTGGTTGAAGCAGAGTGTTCACACACACACACCCATCCCTGGTAGCCTGCTATGTAGAAAGCAAGTGAGGGAAGGAAAATGAGGGGTCAGAGCAAGCAAACAAGAATGGGGGCAGCCCTCCCCTCCGCCAGTAAGTGCACCTCATCTCAGACAGATCATCTCTGAAGAAATGTGGCCCTAAGGGTAAAAAATATTCCTCACCCCACTTCATCTGACTATTTCTGTGTTGCCTAGGTATTGCCTATGCATTTGTACTGTATTTTGTAATGACCACATAGCTCCCCACTTTTATTTCTCTGTTGCAGGCACATTTGTTTACCTCTCCATTTTTCAAGCAAATGATTTTGGCTGCAGTTGTGAATATACTTAATAGGGACCTTGCACTTGGAATTACTGCTGAGTATGGGGTTACACTGCTAAAGGTAAATACAGATGTGTGATGTATGTAAAGTTGCACAGGAAACTGCTGACCCAAGGATTTCCAGGTGCCTGTCTATAATTTTCAACACAGTGTTTACATTTCTCTGCAGCTTAATAGTAAAAGCGATCTTCTTGATACCCTTTTTGCATAATCAGCTCTACTATATCCCAATGACGTTTTAGCCCATGCAAGGCCCCCCACCTCACCCTATTTCTGATAATACCATATCCCGTCTATTGACTGTCTAAGACCCTTTCTGTGTTAGCAGGGTCTTTTACTAGACTCGTTTACTTCAACCTTTAGTACACAGCCTGCCCACCATTCCTCCGTGCTTCCATCTCATGCAAGATACACTTGCTGGAATTTTTATTTTCTGTACATTTATAAAAGGGAATGGAATTGTATCTTCTTTTGCATCTGGCCACGTTACTACCCTGTTTCCCCAAAAATAAGACCTAACCTGAAAATAAGCCCTAGTATGATTTTTCAGGATGCTCGTAATATAAGCCCTACCCCCAAAATAAGCCCCAGTTAAGTGAAACCTCACCCTCCACCATTGTGCAACAACCAGAAGAAGATGACATGACTGTATTTGGATAAAGGAAGATTGTTGTACATGAAAAAAATAAAACATTCCCTAAAAATAAGCCCCAATGCATTTTGGAGCAAAAATTAATATAAGTCCCTGTCTTATTTTTGGGAAAACATGGTATTTCTGCTGCAAGGGAGAAAAGCCATAGTGGCAGATCATGCAAACGCTCCCCTCCTGTCAAAGTGACTGCAAGCCAATGGCTGAAATCCAGTAGTAAGTCACAGCTTTTCCATGCACTGATTACATTAGGACATTGGCATCATTTTGGTGCAAAGTCAAAGCATGATTATTTGTTTTTGGGTGTTGAGGATCTTGGTCTTCATAGGTTTTAATGCAATAGTTTTAATGCTTTAATTGTTTGTGTTTTAATTTTAAATTATTATAAAGGCTTTTTTGTTTTTAAACTGCCTTATATGGCTCTGTAACCTTATATGGCAAAATTTCCACAGATTTGAATAGGACTGCTTTGTTTTCAACCAATCTTGATGACATTATGTTGCTCCAGAAGTATATTTATATATAAATATAAATAAATAGTGACTGTTACTGAAGAATAATTTTGAACACAACTGTAAATAAATAGTGACTGTTACTGAAAGCTTGGAAATTTACATTTTTGGACAAAAATTTATAATCCCAGAATCCTCTTCAGCCACGATGGTCAGTGCAGTATTCTGGGATTTCCAGCTGAAAAGGGAAACTCGTGTACTGCTTTTATTAAATTAGGTAGATTTTTTTTAAAAAGTGTTTGTGTACTGTATGTGTTTGAGAAATAATGAATAAGAATATGATTATGAGATGAATCTCACATATGGTTGACATGGTAGAGTACCAGTCAAAATATTATTTTAGGGTTGCAGAGACCCCCGGTTCAAATTTCCACTCGGCCATGAAATTTACCACATTATAGTGGATCAGTCATTTTCCATCATCCTAAACTATGTGATAGCGCTATTGTGAAGATAAAATGGAGTGAAGTTACTACTATGGATACTGCCTTTAACTCCTTAGAAGAAAGATAAATGGATATAAATGAGTGTTTTTTTAATCCCCACATAATTATTACAAATTGGAGACAATGTTAAACATTTGGGAGCCAACATTCAAATCAGATTAAAGTGGAAGGCATTGCATTTTTCTTACCGCTTTGTCTTCCAGCTTCTGTACAAACTCCTCTCCTGGGCTTCCTGTCACTTTCAAGATCTGAGTCAATTGATCAAGATCTGGCAAGCTGAGTTAAGGCTTATTCACATAGGAAGAAGTGTATAGTATTGTATAACCTAAACAATATATTTTTGCTCTTTGATATTTATAGTAATCTACCTGCATCTATAGTTTTCCCACCCTTTGACTAAGGAGGTCAGGGCATCCAAGTACAGTTCAGTTTTGTCATCGCTAGGCTGGGAGATAGTGAGTCCTATTTTCTTGTTTTTGTTTTTGCTTTTTAATTTTTAGTGATAAGAATGAGTTTTGCAATTAGCTTCCAGCAGTCTTTGGTCCACCTGCCTTTTGGGAATCAGCTCCCATTGGCCATATTGGCTGGAACTTTTGGGAGCTGAACTGCAATGTTTGAGGACCAAAGTTTTAGACACCCGTATTAACAATAAGAAGCCTGCAGTCCTATATGTGCTTATTTGTGAACTAAGCAGGACTTTAAGTGAAAAAATGTGCTGTTTGTTGCTTTAAATGAAAGAAGTAGAAAGCTTCGTCGTGATCCAGTGAAACCTGTGTCATTGCTCTGCAGTCCCACTCCTGATATTCTGACTGCAGATAAGTGTGTAGTCAAGGCATATAGCTTCCCATTCTGACCTAATCTGTGTGTTGCAGTAGTTATAGTTTAGGCTGCAATGCACATGGCTTTCATAAAAGAGGCAGCAGTTGAGAAGGATACAGTCCTTACCCTTAAACAGAGTTTTCCCAGTCAGCATTTCTGCCATAATGCAGCCAACAGACCAGATATCAACTGTTCAGGAAGAAATGTGAGAGACCCATTAGAAGAGTATAGTACTATGGTTTGGCAACAGAAAGGCAGAAAATGGCCAGCTCATTTTGCACGCCATCAATAAATCCACATGTTAAGAGTTTATTTGTTATCTGTACAATGGCATACTTTTTGTTTTCTGTTCTGTTTTGGAAACTTTCTTAAATAAGCTTTAAATAAACATTTTCACAAAGGGCTCATCCACACTATGGTGTTGTCCCTCGTCATTCTGGGTCTGCTCTGGGTTGTTCTGCCATTTTTCTTATGGCAGATTTGAGTAGATCATCCACATATAAGCAGGGAAAATATTTCATGCTGGATGTACTGGGGTGCATTGGGTCCTGCTGGTTCCCACACATCTGTAATTGAGCCCTGAGGTCTCACTCCCAACAGGGATTGCTCTTCCCTTTTGCCATTTTTTTTTATCTTCTCTTCACCTACTTCATTCTCTCTTCCCTCCTTGTTTTAACTTCCCAGCATTCTTTTACCATCACATTTTTGGCTGCAGTGCTTTCTCAACTTTTTATCTATTTATTTTTAAGCCATCACTTTTGTGCTCTGGCGCAAAAGACCAGAGTCTGAACCAATGATTGCCCAACTACACAACTAGCCACATGACACAGTTGAGTCAAGGCAGGGCACAGATGACACCTTGGGCTCTACTGAGAGTACAGTATGTACACTTCCGTATCAGCTAGAAATGGGGAAAATGTCTTTTTGAAACTAGGGTCGCTTGAGGTTTGTATGCCATTTGGATGCGAGGATCATACCAAATGGCATACTGGAGCTCCAAGCAACCCTCTTGGAACCTAGTCCAGCCTGCCCAGTTGCCACATGTACTTTTTTAGCAAGGGACATTGTTACTGCAGAAAACAGATGAAAACCCATATAGAACAATATTGATTGTGACCTATAATTCATACCCTTATGAGAACAGTTTCCCAAACAGCCAGGTGAGGAAATACTTTTACACACCAGTCTGATTGTAATGCATCCAGCTCAAAATCACTTCTGGGGCTCGGTACCAACGAGTTACCACATAGCCAGTCATCTCAGAGTCTGCATGTCTCGCCAGTCCAAAGTCTAAGATCTACAGTGCAAAGTAAATAAGAAGGAAGCCAGTTTATTTATTTAATTTATTTAAAATCTGTTTACCCCACCTTCCTCCTGAAAAAGGACCCAGGGAAGCTTACATATGTAAAAAGACTATATTTAAAAGCTAAAACCAGTAAATATACAAATATATTAAATATAATATAGATATTAAAGATGGTAAAGAAAAGCAATACTAAAACCACAATGAAGCACAGCAATCCATTAAAAAACTAATCTCAGACTAAAGAAAAGCCTGCCTGAAGACAGTCTTTGCCTGCCTGTGTAAAGGCAGCAAAGATGGGGCCAGCCTAGCTTCCCGTGGGAGGGAGTTCCAGAGTCTGGGAGAAGCGACAGAGAGGGCCCTCCCTCATGTCCCCGCCAAGTGCACATGTGAAGATGACAGGACTGAGAGAAAGGCCTCCCCAGATTATCTTAACACCCGCGCAGCCTCACAAAGGAGATGTGGCCCTTGAGATAGCCTGGATTCAAGCAGTTTAGGACTTTATAGGCTAAAACCAGCAGTTTGAATTGTTCCTAGAAAGGAATTCGCAGTCAGTGGAGCTTCTGTAATGGGGGAGATATGTGATCCTTGTAACCAGTCCTAGCTAACAATCTGGCTGAAGCACTCTAGAAAAGGGAATGGATCCTTCACAGGAATATTCTACCTACATGGGACACTCGATAATGACATTTAAATGGTTGGCTATGCTGGAAGCCATGGACATATCTTGATAACAAAGAGAAACCACATCTAGGAAACATTACAGAAATGGTGCCATTACCTGTGCAATAGCAAGCTTGTTTAATCAAGACTCTTAGGGATATGCAGGGGGGAAACTTTCAGTTTGCTCTTGTTTCAGGTTTCTTTGTGGGGGTTTGTGAAGGGTCGTTCGGTTGGGCTTCCCTCTTTTTTAATAAAACAACATCAGACACTTCGTCAAATAGCTTGTTGTCATTTATTACTTCACCCAACGGGGTTTTAACCACAACAGGTTTATTCAAACTAGTCTCTTGTTCGAGCAACGGCTCTCGCAAGGGCAACCAAAAAGCTTTCTTCCATAACGTTTCCCAAACTCTGGTTCCACGGACCGGCACAAACTTGTCCCTGACCCTCAGTCTCCAAACCATGGTCAGTTGCACTCAGAAGCGGGAGGATCTCTTCATCTCCCATCCATCACAGGGACGGGTCTCCCTCTCTTGTCGGGTCGCTGCAAAGTCCAGGAAGCATCCCATCTTCCTCAGCTCTTCTAAATGCCATGCCCGGTGAGCCTCTCTTTCTCTAGCAATAGCTTCTTTCTCTTCCCTGATTTTCCTTCTCCATTCACGAGTCTCAGACTCATCCCAGTACGATGGTTTTTGGGGCAAGCCTTTCTCCCTCCGACTCTCAGCTTCAGCTTTAGGACTTGTTCCAATTTTCCCGTCCACGGGTCCTGCATCCAAATCCACTCCCAACCTCCTGGGATGTTGTCCCGTTCTGCCTTGATCTCTCCCAGCCCCCCTTCTTCCACCACCTCATGAACCTCTTTCCTTCCCTCCAATTCTTTCTTAAAAGGATGTTATTTTTAACCCTTTCCATCTCTCTTCCAACTCTCGGGTATCCACAGCTTTTGACACCCCTTTCCCCTGTAGATTTGCCTCCTCTAAATCATGGGTATCTGAACCTTGATCTCTTTTATGGCTTAAGGTAGTCGGTGGACTAGTCTGGGTTTGTTTGGAGGTCTTAACGAGAGACAGCTCTACCAGAAAGACACGGAACTTCTGGTCTTTCCCTTCACAGGGTTATTCTTCCATTCTCAGGCCCTTGGAGGAAGCCTTTGTGTCCTTTCATTTCAGTTTTCCTCATTTGGACCTCTAGTACTAGGTTGAATTGAGCCCTACAGAATGCAATAAACTACTCCAAAAAATCAGGATCAAGACAATAAACGATGAACTTTTTCAGAAGCAGGCAATACAACAACAGTGCCTGAGAAAGAAAAATCACAACCAGATCTATGCAGCAGGCACTTTACATCAGCATCAGGAAACAGTACCAGTGGGGAAGAAAGCACCATTAGATTAATTAGATATCATCACAATTGACCAGGCCTATGACCTTCCAAAGGAGGAAATCCAAATAAACAGGATCGACTCCCCCCCCCCGTTGATTCCAGAATTCTATCATACAGCCACCAAAGGCTTCGGAAAGTAAAGGAACTGTCTCCTTTGTGTGCCCCCCCCCTCAATTTGGGTTAACACACAAGTCTCATCCCTAATTGCAATACTCCTAAGGATTTTCTAACCTAGCTGATATGAAGTGAGGACATCCAATCCCTGTTTCCACCCACACGTTTTATTTTACACCTTTATGAATTGCACCCTTTTCCCAACAGACAACTGGGACACTATGAAACATAGCTGCCGTTAAAAACATTCACATCATAACATAATAAACACAGGAGTACAACCATACATAAAATCTGAGAATTATGATGATATTTCAGTTAGAAAGCGGTATAGAATGGATAAAATGACTTCAAGTGACCATGGAAGCCTGACTCAGCAAAATAGACTATATTTCCTGCACCCGACG